CATTGTTTATCCACTTCAGAGTTCACGAAAGGCCTTTACGGCTACTGCAACGTCTAAAGGGTAACAAGTCATATCGTACATCACTCTAACGAATAAACCTTTACTTTGGTGGATGTCAGATTCATACGAAATAGAGGAGAGAGTGTTTTTAGGGAGTAAAATATCACTAAATTCAAAAGTATATATGATAAATAGCGAATTATTTTAGTTTCATTAATAAATTTCAGTCATTAACAGATCAAAGTCTACAGATATTTTAAAAACAGAATTCATACACTGGTTGGTGGTCGATTTCGCCGGAACACCGCCCCAGGAGATCTGACCAATACAGAAAGGTTCCCAACGAGCCAGAAAGCAGATCACCCTGTCCACCGCAACGTCTTGGAGCATCCTTCAAGTCGCATGTTACAGCTAAAGTCAAAAGCATAACATACTGCAAAACCGATGTATTGTAAAACGGATTGCAAAATTATATCACCACCAAACCAAAAAATCATAATATAAAATTCACAGCTTCCATAACTTTATTGGAAAACCTGCTGCTGATTTTCTTTCTGGCCCCCATGCATTCCCCAACATTACAGATGCGCCATCGATTTATCTTCTCTCACACTGCGTTGTACAAGACCAACAATTTATTAGGTATAGTATGATAATTTTATGACAGTCTGTTAGGAAAAATGTTTTGACTTAACTCCCACAGACCTCCCTAAGAAGGTCGCTTGCGACCGTTGCTGTAGTTGTTGTCGAATCACACAGTTCAGCCTAAACAGCGGTCGACAGTCAACAAGAACGTGAAGAAAGATAAGTAGAGTCAACATTTTCAATATGGTAGCTAAGCTTCGAAACAGGACAGTCTGATATTCAGTTCGTTCCTACGCGCACTCCGAGAGTTAGCCATTTCAATACTTCAAAAATGTGATCAGGATGCCTGACTAGAGGCTAGAATGGCCGATTCTTTTGGGGTAACCATATGAAAGGCACGCATAGGATAACCGATGGGCTAGATCATTCGATTACAAAGAAAAGATTGCATAGTAGCGTCTTGGAAACCAGCTCGTGAAAACTGCTAGACTGGCACAGACCGCCAGAGACTCATGAAATTGCCCTACAACTTGAAGGAAATAGCAGGAGAAGGACGGACAGATAAAGAAAGATCAAAATATAAGATGAATTTAAGTCTGAACGGCTGCAAATACAATTTGCTAATGAAAAAGAATTATGGGGAGGGGCAGTGGTATCATCGATTAGTAGATTGCTATACTCCTTAAAGGAGCCGGGTTCACATCCAACAAGCGGCGTAAATTTCTTCTTATTAAAGGTCAATTCACTAGAGCAAAGAATTCACATTATGGTCGATAGGAGAAACGGCGTTTAAAATATGATTTATGATAAATCGTAAAACGAGATGCCAATATCACTGGCGTAAAATTATTACTTTATATCTTCAAACATTCACAGTGAAACAAGGCACAAATCATAAAGGTACTTGAAGAATATGCACAATATACGTAATTAAACGGGACAGCTTTCGAAAAAAAAAGATTAAATGCATCAAATCACAGCGACACTTACCGACATGACCATTGGATATGATGTCACTTTTGCCCTTTCTCACCACCGTTACGTTTCCTAACTTTTCGCTCAACATTTGCACATTCAATATTGCATCTTCTTCAGATGGTTCAGCCGACATCTAAAAGTAGAAAATCAGTGCTAACTGACGTCAGATAGCAGTTTGGTTCACTGAGTTCAATTCAAAATTGTCTTACTGCAGAATAAGCCCAAAACTTCACAGCGGTCATCTCATTCCATAAAACAAACATAACTTTCTAAGGGAAGAAGTGGCCTCTTCCCCTTACCACATTAGCCAAATCGACAATAATTGTATCAGTATACTACGTAGATTTATCTTAAATCCACAAACAGTTTCGTCAACAATGAAATATCATTTTACTAACCGTTTCAGGGTTCATGAAATACCTTAACCGTTACCTTAAGCGTTAAGAGAATTAGAAAACTGTTCCTTTACCTCCACTTTCCTGTCATTGACATAGAGGCCAAATTTACGAAGAGCGGTTATTCCGCGATGAACGCGATTTCATAGGCTGGCATTAAGAAAAGGCGAACTTACAACTGAAGAATAAAGATGACGGAATTCGACCACGTTCGGTGTCAGTATGGCATTTTTGCAACCTTGAATGAGATTAGGCAACTTCGTAAGAAAGTAAAGTCCGTCCTGAAAACAAACGATTTAATGGTTCAATATAAAGCAACACAAAACATTCTATAGTAAAGTAACCGAAATACAGGAAACTATGATCCAGGATTGTACATCATGCCGTCTTTCTTATAGAATATGCCACCTGATAGAATATGCCACCTGATTTTGCTTAAGTTGAGGATATCGACGAATATGAAATATAACATTTAATGTTACTTTTGTAAACTGTCTGAAACATGCAAAGATGATACTACAAAAACAGCAAGGAAGATCACCTTGTTAATAAACAGCCATATTTGCGTGCTCGAACATAACCTGTGGTGTTAATCACCCTCGAACCCCATTAAAGTCTCCTTGACTAACCAGATAACTCTCCGTCCAAAATAGCGGCAAAGTGTGATGACCAGGTACGGAATAGCAGAAGCATGAGAAAACTATCAGAAAAGTCCAGAGACCGGCGACTGGTTCGATTTGATGAAACAGAATTAAACTAGGAGCGCAAAAATGTTCAGAATCTTTCTCTTATTACAGTTATCCTCTGAGCAAAGGTAAGAACTCATTGATATGTAGTTGGTTCGAAAAGAATTGTCACCGTTGCAGAGGATTCGAATATAACAAAGGCCCTGCAGATGCCTCCTTTACCGTCAGAAAATGAAGATGCGGCCATAATGATCTTATCATGCGGCACGTCACCTGTGAGAGTTCGATGGCAGCATAATCGATGTTCAGATATCACTGACTCATAAATGTGGACATTCACATATAAGCTGCAGTCACCCACCCCTGTAATATGACAAAGACCACGAGTATGGCACAAAACGAGATCAAACTGTCAAGCACCACGATGAAAAGTTCTGTCTGTGGCAAGGAACATGGCCTTTTGACTCAAATAATTAATCAAGTGCCTACACAGCCACTAACGCATTTACTCGCTGATTTATCTAATTACCTCCTTACTTCTTTTACTTTTTGCTGACACAATTGCATATACGTTTCCGCTCCTTTCACAATCACACATTTGTTTTATTCGCTTACATACATACTTTATTGCTCAATAAAGCATTTATGAATTTATTCTGCTTACTTTTCAAATTGAATACATTTGTCACTATTTCCAACTTGCTTACTTTCGTTAGCTTCATTCTTTCGCCAGTCAATTAGCTAATTATGTGATCACTTAATGCAATGCATTACTGGCTCTAATTTTTGGTTTCTTTTCCACCTAAATCATGAAATTAGTTACATTCATTCCAAATAACTTACGCAGTTACTTACTTACTCCCTAAACGATAAACTGACCTATTTAAAAATTATTAACTTGCGCACTAATTTATTTATTTCTCCCGAGTTAGTGATTTTCATGATTATCTACTTAACGTTTGCGCTTTTATTGAATACCTCCTCGTCTAGTTATTTCACACTTACTTTACTTCGCATTTACTTACCTGATTTTATCACCCATAAGGTGAATGAGATCTAACTGTAGCCGTAAGGCGCCTGTAACATATAGCATATTCATTTTTATCGCACGCACTAGCATGAAAACGCTAAAACACCACGTTGACGCGGTTGCTGAAACATCAATCATATGTTACCCATTTTCTGGCTGGGGGTAAAAACGAATATGAAGCGAATTCTTTGTTCACAGGAACTGGCAGGTAAAACGACAAATTCAACGCGATATTGAGTTAGAAGGAGAATCTTTAAATTCTCCAGGAAACTATTTACCTACAGCACTAATACTCCCTCAGCTGACCTCCTCATCTATTATAATTGATTGCTACGTAAAGTAAAGGCTTTCTGCAGTAAAATACTTATTTATGTTTTATTACCATATTAACTGCTAAGTAATTTACTCATGATTTAATTTTAATTTATTTAATCGCTTATTTACTTACTTACAACATGAGTTGCTTGCTTACATAAACTCTTATTATTCCGTATACGACATAGGGTCATTCGTCGAACAAATAATCCTTTCTTTTATCACTATATATACAAGTCCAAGATAAGTGCTTGCAAAACTCGTTTAGGAGTTTAGAAAATATGACGACCAGTATATTCTTACCGCATCAATAACCATAGGAAGGTTCATTTCCCTCGCTGACTTGAGCCATAAAGAAAACTGGGTCATTGTTTCGAACCTACGACCAAGACCAGGTCCCAGGATCAATACGTTAATACGCTCCAGCAGTTGCTTCGCCTCATCCGATCCGAAATCACTCCGTCTAAAGCGAAAACTGAATAATTCTTAAGAAACCGTTCCATCAAGTATTAATGGCATTTCATCAACAACATTCCATTAAACAGAAAATCAACTTTACAATGAATTTTACTACGTCTTATGGACTGTTCCTCATGCTGAGCGTCAACTTAGCGGATCAAAGCTCACTGCCGAGCTCAGAATCAGGTCAAGTCACTCAAAGTCAAGCGTGCATCGAAAAACACATGATCACATCGGAACACCATGTTGTCCAAAATATTCGCAAGTCATCATCGGCATGCAGCCCATTTTCTGACTGACTGCACCGAGGAACAGTGGGCTTAATTCGCTGTTCAAGGGAATTATCAGTAACCTAGAAATTAAGCTGCTTCCATATGAATTACAATTTCTAGCATGTATGGCCAAATGACTAAGTGTTGCATCACTGCCCATAAATGAGGGATGTTATCTTACAACGCTATGCGGCTCTATAGATTTGAGGAGCCATCATGTAGGGGTAGCTCGACTTTCTTATTTTTAAGGTTACTAAATGAGTGCCACTTTATGATAAAGAAATAGGAGACTACTCACGACGCTTCTCACACTGCTGATGCTCACTATATCTTTAAAAATAAGACACTCATGGCTGACAGAATGGAAACTCAGATTAGCCCCCCCCTTTCATACACACACACACACACACACACACCACAATTAACACACTAAAAGAAAACTGCCAGAAACAGCCCCATAATCTAAGTTTAAGGAACATTGAGATTCCGATGGCTACAAACTTTCCTTTTTTCTTTAATACAAAGAAACAAAGCAAAATGTTATGGATCAAAAATCATGTAAAAAAACAATTATGAATGCAACAGCTCTGAGTTTCCCTCTATTCCTCAGGGAATTTTTGAGATTGTAGATAGTGGTGTCGCTTATGTCAACCAGCCAATAATCTATTTTAATAATATAACATCACTGTAACAAATAGAGCACTGCACAAAAACAAAACCACAATGCCCTCTGCGCAGAGAGCAGGAGACCACTGACGTACCAATGAATGTATTTTACTGCCAGAACATACAGAACATGACCATATCTTCATATAAAATTGCATAGCAAATAACGAATGACTCTTTCAAGACCAGATTTCATGACGTGCTGCATCGCCCTTTTGCTACTACTTGCCGGGGGATATTTAAGCAGGTCACAGTTCCATGGTATTTCAGCACCTGCAGCGCCAGACGCACCTCGCATCGTTTTGTCCGCTAGAGACACCTTGCACTCATTAAGAACGAACATTTCGGGAGCTACAGCATAAAGTATGTTTACATACTGAAGTATATCAGATAATGCCCTAATTTCTCTAAGGCCAGATTTCATGGAGTGTTGCACCGCTGTTTTGCTCATAGCCACCTATGGAGGCAGTCAAGCAAACCTTGGTCCGCGATGTTTGAGCTCCTGCGATGCCAGATGTATCCCACAATATTTTGTCCGTTAGAACCACCTCGCGCTTAGTCAGGACGAGGTACTGGTACTGGTATTCCCAGTATGCTGCAGCACAAACATCACAAGTTGTTCAAACATAAGTATCTTGTGCATTGCGCAGCCGCTACGGTACTCTTGGCGGTCTGTCATCAACCATAAAACAGGTCGGCTAAAGAAGATCCGAAAATCAGCGAACGTAAGTCAGTTCATGTCTTATTAGGTATTACACACGTCATTAACCTACGACAAACTGACTTGTTAAGCTTACCACAATACAGATGGCGAAAACAAAAACAACACCTACTCATAACCTAATTCAGGTCAGAACAAAATAATAATCCGGTCACCAAATCCGCAGGATCCCATTATCCGCAATAATCCTTGAAGAAAGTACAATGAAATATCGCATGGAGGTCATTTTAAACAATAATGAAAACTCCTGTTCATAGTGCCTAGCGTTTGAGTGAAGAATGAAGACTAGCGGGTAAAATAAACAGAAAATCTGAATGACGTTCATAGACTATACAAGATAATGTCAGAAAAGAACATCCTGCACACAACGTGGATGATGGACAACTGGGAAGTGTAATATAAAAGTCTTACTTAGACTAGTATATGCATGGTGTCATCAATATGAAGAGAAAATCAAGTTTGCACGATTTCACGTACTTAGGAAAAATATTGTGTTATAAATTTTCCTAGCTGATAAATATTTTTTACTTTGTGATAGTGATATAACTTACTCACCGTAAGTCTGCATTTAATTACATACTCGCACATAGACTTCTTTGCCTGACTGCGTGCTCATCAACTTATTAATCTACTCAATTAAATTACGCGTCTGTACCCGTTGTGCGAAGAAAGCTGGATGATAAAGCAAGACAACATACGCTACATCGAAATACGGTTGAGATTTTTCTAACGCCGTAATAGCAAGACGAACCGTGTGCAGACCCTGAAATGGCTGGCAAACGATGTAACAGATTTCGCTGGCAACAGTTCCTTTACGTTGCTAAGGGGCAGTGGCGCAAACGGTTAGTAGAATGTCTTGCACCTTACAGAACAGGACCGGATTCAAACGAAAGGCAAGGCGTGTATTTTCTTTTATTAACTGCTAATTCGCTTGAGCAAAGGAATGCACTCCACTTCGGCGTAGCCAGCCGAGACGCCGCTAGCAGTTATTGACTCGTGATTATCAAAGACA